CTTTTAAGCGGCCATTGGAGTTCTCGAAGAACCATTTGAAGCTATACTTCTGGTGACTTTTTCCTCTCGTTTTCTTCTATGTTCTATTTAGTTAATTTTACGTTTGTATAATAAGTTCAATTTCTCTGAACCCGATTTTCGATTTCGTATGATTTGGGGTTTTTCTACTGTCTAATTTGTTCTTCGCGAGTGGTGATTTGAGGATTTTTGTTTTGTTGGGACCATATGTTATGGTTTTTGTTATCTTATCAAGGTTATACGATTAGCTTATCGTTGTCGTTTGCAGATCTTAAGAGTCGCATGAGAAGATTTTTTTGTTTGTTTGCCTCTGATTAAGGGGAAATGGGGCTTACTGGAATTTGATTCTATGACAATAATATCCATAACTTATTCGTGCCTGTATGGTGATTGAACTTTGAGCTGGTCCTAATTCTGATTCTGATTTTAAAGATTTGTTTCTTGTCTTTTGAAAACTTTTCAATTCTATTATTTTCTTGCTTCTAGGTTTTGATTACAGGATCTTTGAAAAATGGAAAGTGACGACGATCTGTGCCAGAACAATTGGGTAAGCTCTTCTTCTTCCAAATTGCGTGATCCTGAGGGAAACCAAACCTTCACATCACAGCAGAAATGGGAAGATGCTTCTTCTATCTTGGATTATGAGATGGGTTTGGAGCCTTGTTCTCAAGTTTTCGACCAGATCAAAGCTTCTTCGGCCCAAGAAGATAACAACAACAGTCAAGTTAATGTTGATTTCCTGCAAGGCGTTAGGGCTCAAGCATGGGATCCGAGAACCATGCTGAGTAATCTTTCCTTTATGGAACAGAAGATTCACCAGCTTCAGGATCTTGTTCATCTCATCGTTGGCCGAGGCGGGCAGCTTCAAGGTCGTCAAGATGAGCTCGTGGCTCAGCAGCAGCAACTGATAACGACGGATCTTACTTCTATAATCATACAGCTGATTTCCACTGCAGGTAGTCTTCTTCCATCTGTTAAGCATAATATGTCAACAACACCGGGTCCATTCACTGGACAGCCCGGTTCAGCCATGTTCCCTTATGCGAGGGAGGCTAATAACGTTGCTTCACAGACCCAAAACAATAACAACTGTGGTGCTCAAGAGTTCGATATGCCTAAGCCGATTGTTGTTGATGAGAGGGAAACCCATGTTGTT